TAGCCGGTTCAAACAATAAACTTAGCCCAAACCAAACAAGTTACAGGATGGTTCACTGCAATGTGAAAATATGCCAGTTGTGACTTATTCGCCAAATTAATTGCTTTGTGTGAACTCAGTCATCATGATTACTGTTTTTTTGAGGGGGGGGGTTCTATTTTGTGTGTGTGTTTCATTTTTCCTTCACATATCTCTCATGCAATATGTGAGGCTGAATGTGGCAAGTTTATTTGAGGAACCAGATCCAGCAGAGTTGGCTGGGGAGCTTTGTTTGGCAAGTCCTAGGCAGCGGGCCTTTTCTGCTGTGGCCCCCACTTTATACAACATCCTTCCCCCCAAAGTGAGGCTGGCTACCCCCCTTTTAATTTTCTAGAAGTTCCTCAAGATCTGGTTGTCTCATCAGGCCTGGGGACCCCAGAGGACTGGCGAAATATTGAGATGGCTCCAGTGTAATTAACACCTGCTCTTCACCTGATCTTTTTTATTCTGTTTTAGTTTTGTGCCTTTTATAGTTATAAAGTTTTTAATATTAATAGTGATATTAACTTGTATATATTGTTTTTAATTTTGTTGTACGCTGCCCAGAGTCACTTGATTGTGAGATTGGCGGTCATATAAATATGACGAATAAATAAATAAAGGTGGGAACTTGACCAAACAATTATGTAAACACTGAGAAAGTGTCTCCAAGTTGCAAGGCCAAGAAAAATATGGCCAAATTTCCATTGACTAGAAAAAGACTGGAGGAAAGGCCTAGAATTAAATGCTGGAACAGACATTAGAAGTAAAAGACTTGATTGTTGTGTTCTACAGTAAGCAGGTCTTCTGCTTATCTATAATTTTGATCTTATCTGTCATAAAGCGGCTTGTTGTAACAGTGAGCTTCTGCTGTATGCAACTTTGTGAATATGAGTTATTGGGTCTGCAGCGTTTTATAGTTGTGCCTGGCATGAAGTTTGACAGCAAGATTTTCTTTCTTCTACACCCAGCACAAAAAAAAATTGGAACATTTAGAACATTCTCACAGACTCACAGAGTGCCATATCAGGAGCACACATTTTTTTTCTTGTTTTAACTTTTGTACCTCTCACATTCTTGCTAGCAAAACAAGCATGCCCCTATTTTATCATGCAAGCCAGAATCTTATCATATGAGCCTTCTCACACTCTATTCTGCACCCAGAAAACATTGAGCCTCCTCTCCAACATCTGCCTTGCCCTGTGAGACTTGCAATGGGAAGAGAGATCCCTTCCTTACCTGTTCAAATCTGTATTCAGAATTCTTTCTGTATTCTTATGAACAGGGTCAGATGAATAACCTTCATGGGACCTCTTGTCTTTTACCTCCCCTTTTCCTTGGGGAAAGTGAGAACTGTGCCCCAATGACCAGCTATGTGTTCCTCCTTCCTTGAGAGATGAAGTATTACAGCTCTGCCACAGCAGCTGGCCAGGAGGACATTTTGGAGTATCTAAAATGACCCACCTCCTTCTCCATAACTTGAATGAGCTCATTTTACAGCAAATGCCAAAACCATATTTGTTGTCATTCCAAACTCTGACTAACAAACTGGCTGGACTGTTGCATCTTGCCCTCTCCTCAGAAAAGGGACACAGCTTCCTTGGATTTTACAAGCCTACCGCATATCAAAGGCCTTGATGAAGGGTGACCTTTGTTCTGAGATGGACCATTTCATTCCCTATCACAGCCTCCACTCTGCTCTTGAAATAGCTTGCTTGTTTATTCATCAAGTTTTCTGAAACTATGATTTGCCCAATCATCTCATTTCTGATGGAGGAACGCAATTCATGGCCCGTTTTTGGAAAGGTCTATTTCAATAACTGTGTGTAAGGTTCCACCTGTTCTCTGTCCATTGTCCACAGTTAGATGGAGAAACAGAGAGGACAGATGCCAGCTTAGAGTAATAATTTTCTTGTTATGTAAACTATCAGCAACATAATTCACCTGATCTTTTATTATGGCTAAATTTGCTTATAATAATTCAGTTCATGCCTCTACTGAGATGTTGATGTTTCAGGCCACCTATGGTTTCAACCCATGCCTGCTAATAAATGCTTCCCAGCATTCCCTCCTTCCAGAGGCTTTCTGTTTACTCCAGTAACATTCAGTCCCTCCTGTAGGATCAACTGGATCATGTCAAGACTTTCTATAGGTGTTCTGCTGCCATCACTAGGAAAGCCCTCTCATTGCTGGTGGAGACATTTGGCTTTCTACCAGACTCCTCTCTTCCACATGCCATCTAAAATGCCTAGTTTATTGAATAATTCCCAATAAATGTATGATTCAATCCTATGACTTTTTGTCTGCTTTCAGCCACCTTGAAAACACATCCAGTGTTCCACTATTTCCTCCTGATCCTGGAATGGCTCCCTACACACTTCTGTCCCATCCCCATCCCCCAATTTGGGATGGTGGGAAGAAAGAATTTGATCTGGATCTTGTTTTGGAATCTACAGGAGGGATATACTGGAATAATTAATTCCTTGGAAGGGCTACCTGGAAATTAAATGTTCAGGGGAAACATGATGAAGTACATATCCCTCATTTCCTTTGAAGTTTTATTTGCAATATACTTAGAAACCCAAGCTGCCTAACTGGCTGCACATTCAGGCATTGGCATCTGCCAGCAATTCTGACTCAGAGGCCTTGTGCTGGAGGGGGAGGGAAATATTTGAATTGAGAGAGAGACAGACAAACAGACCTACCCAGAGAACAGAGGAGGAATTCTGGAATGGGGCAGCTCCTATCTAAAAGAGTAGGAAATTCACCCTTCTTGCTGTCTAGTGTCAGAAGCAGCGAGGTAGAAAGGCATGAAGTGGGAGAGATTCTTCTGAGAAGAAAACAAGAAATTCCCTTCGTTCTTGAGATAATCAGGCAAGAGGAGGAAGGATACAACAATCTGAAGAGGGTTTTTTGCATCTGCCCCAACCAGCAAAGAATTAGAAATTGAAGGAAGCACATGATTCCCTTAAGTCACCCATAACCGGAGGGAGGGAAGGAGTTATACCTAGCACTTCCAGTATGAAGTGCTCTTACAATCTCAAAGCCAGGAAGATCATGCCCAAATTTCTGTTGATTCAAAAAGGCTTGAGGAAAAAGCCTAGAATTTGAACCCTGGAGCATCGTGTGTGTGTTTGTGTGTGTGTACATGTGGTATATAGCTTTATCTCTGTGTTGCACTGTAGGCAGATCTGCCCATAGATGGGTTCCATCTTGTCTGAAATAAGGCATCTTATTTAGCTGTGCTGTGTCTTTGAGTGTCTATTGTAAACAAGTTCCTGAAGAATGGTTTATAGCTCTGGACAGTTAAGAGTTATTGCTGTGCCTGGTGTGAAATCTTGACACACAACTAATGGAAGTTGGCACCCTCTTCCAAATGGGAAGGCCAGTCCTATAGCTAAACTTGGTCAAATCACCTACTGGGTCAACATATTGTACCCAACTGTAATATGATTTATTTAGTTTTGACTCAGTATAGACGATGATATCAACTACTGTAGTTTATATAATGTTTAAACAAATGATGGCTTAGCATGGTGTATGAAGTCAGTCGTTATCAGACCTGATAGTATAATTCTTAAAATATAGTCATTTGCATATTTACTTGGATATATCACAGAATCATAGAGTTAGAAGGGGCAAATTAGGCCATTGATTCCAAGTCTGGGTTTAGTGTAGAAATTCAAATTAAGCTAAATGTATTCTGTTTCCTCAGTCTCTCCTTGTAAGACTTACTTTCCAGTTTTTTGATCATCTTTGTTGTCCTTTCCACCTGTCCAAATCCATGTTCAAGTGTGGTGACTAGAACTGGACTTAATACTTGAAGTAAGACCTGACCAATGCAGAAAATAGTTTGGCTACTATTTCTTGTGTTTTTGAAACTTTACTTCTGCTGATGCAGCTAAAACTCCATTTGTTTTTCTTTTTTCACCAGTTATTTCACTCTGTTGACTCATATTCATTGAGATCATTTAATAGTACTTACTCCCAAGTAACTGAGTATAGGATTTCCTTGTAAAAAGTTCAAACCCACTTTTTGTATGCTTGTAAACAGAATTTAAAAGAGTAAGCTCTATTTTATTTAATGTGAAAGACCACAAACCTGAAGCAGTCCAAAAAAATAGGATGGTCCGTACCACCCCAGAATACAAATGCTGGATCTTTTTAAAACTCTAAATAAAACAGAAGGGAGAATAGCAACGGGTGGCCTTGTAGTACTGAATTCTGACATGTGTTCAGGTTTGAATTTCATGAAGACTAGCATGACCTCTACTTGAATCTGTTGATTTAAAAGGGTCTTTTCAAAATAAAAGACTTTACATTGTTTATACCTAGGCATAATATTGTAGCATTAAAAAATCCAAGCTGTATTTTATCTCAGGTTTTCCTGAATAATTTTTGTTTTGCAAAAATGAATTTAGTTGAATTGTGATGGTATCTAATTAAAGAGCATTTGGTTCCATAGGTATCCATGTGGAACATGGGCTAACCTATAGCTGAAAGTGTTAGCTGCATTGAGTGAAATTACATTTTCCTGAAAACACAAGTGAACTGAATGATGATCCTTTTGGACAGAGGTCACGCATTGTTGTGTTAAATGGTAACAGGCTTAGTGTGTTTTATGAACCCAGCCAACTGAATCTTACTCAAAAAACTATGATTGAACAAACCACAGTTTAGTGTGATTTGCAAACTCAGCCTTATATGGCAGTTAGGCTAGTCAGGCTGGCAGAAACTGCTTCCAAAGAGCAAATCTCTGGTCTCAGCTCATCCACAATAACCTCTCAGCTAAATTTCTGAAAGATGCTGTACACCAGCTTTCTCCAACCACCTGTTGTCTAGCAGAACTTCCCACTGCAGATGGAATAGGCTGTAAATTTCATCAATCCCAGCTATACCAGCTGTCAATTCATAGAACAAAAAGAGAACATTTGGTTTGATTTTAAGTATTTATTAAAAATGGTACCAATTATGAAAAAAAAGTCCAAGATGAATTTTAAATAGTTGGAAATAAGAAAAACAGAGAAACCCAGAAGTAAATATTCTGCAAAGATAACAAAAATGGGGAGCTCTTCTGATTTGCCACTGGTTGAGACAGAAGAGTCTGAAGACACACCACCATAACTAGATAAAATGCTACATTCTCACTGGGTCTCAGTCCATGGAAAAGGAGGTCTGTGCACTTCAGGCCCATGATGGCAAAGGATATAATGACAGAAACATCCTGCAAGCTAGGAGAATAATATATACAATATGAATGAAAACTTTTTAAGAACACTTTTAAAAATGACATGGCAATATTTGTCGCCTACCAGCTTTCCCAGTATAATTGGCTATTGCCAAATTAATTCCTTATTTAGAAAGTTGAAGATTTCTCTGAGTCAGCAACACATACATCTCAGATTCTTCCTTCTATAGCATTCTTAAAAGAAATCTGCAGCATACAATGTATGATGGAAAAGCAGAAGATTATAACAAATGTAGCTTAATATTTAAGTTGCTACATTGGAATAAGAGGAGATTCAAGACTCCTTAAGAGTGTAGAAATGAAGCTTCTTTAGGATCCCAATTTCACATTTTAAGCAAAAATATGTTTGACTAATATTTATATACTTTATTGACTTCAATAGACCAGAATATTGGAGGAAAAATGAACTCCTGATCCATTGGGACTGTAACTTTCCAGACTCCCATCTGGAAGGGTCTGGTTAAAGAAGGCTCATTTAGAGAATTGTGAACACTATGATATCTGGATTATTTTGTCAGCTAGGAAGAGTCACTGTTCTCTGATAAGGAACATGCTCATGCGGAGAAAGCTCCAGGTTCAAGTACTCGGTATGCTCAGTTTGAAAGATCCAGCAAAATGATGGGAAAGACTTTATTGTGCCCAGGACCTTGGGGAACAGCTGCTAGTTAAAAAAAAACACAAAAACCCACCCAGTTCTCCATTGTTTGGGACACACATCCTTGTATCTTGTTATAAGATTGTTACAAACAGTTCTCACTAAATAGTGAAAAGTCACAATAGATCCACAAAATTAAGAATGAAGTGACAGTGAGTCTCAGAAGTAAAAAAAAGTTGACCATTATTTAAATAACCAAGACTGTGTGAAATAAAGAACTAATTTGGTCTGGTATGCCATACCCGGTAAGGATAAAATGAAAACAGGATCCTCTATTTTTAATAGTTACAAAGCAGATGGAATTTCAACAGGTACATTTTTTTCAACCCCACAACAAAGTGGATCTGCCTTCTTTTACAGAGTGATTAAAGGTGCAGGAATTCCATCTTTACACAAAACATACTTCCTTAATTCTTATGGCTCCTATAATGATGAAATAGGCAACAATTCTTGAAAATAAAAGCACTTTGAACAAAGAAAGTTATATAAATATTTATATAACAATATAAACAATTGCCATACAGGTTGTATAAGCCCATATCACTGAAAGGGTGCCAATGCTAGCGTGGCCACCTCCTGGCTGCAAAACTCCAGGGAATTACTAGATGGCAGCAGAGAGAGACAGAAAACTAACTCCTTGCTGTCAAGTCCAATATACCAACCCTAACCAATGCTGTTTAAATAAACACCCATACCAATTTTTAAAAAACTTTTTATAAACATTGTACACACAGTGATTTTCCTAACAGCATTTAAAAATATAAATGATCCAATATACCTTTCCTACTCTTAAATTCATCCTCTAATCTCATTACTCAAAGGCTGAAAATATTACAAAGGCCTCTAGAAACACATCCCAAAAGAGTTTCTGGGTCCCCATCTTTCCTGGAGGTACAAGCCTCTGTGCACAGAATGTAAGTTGCAATTAAAGCTCATAGAAATCAAGAGGACAAATGACTGGTGACACCTCGGTTGATTTCAGTGGACTTCATTTGAGCACTGTGAAGTTCCCCCAAGAGTCACATGGCTTTCTGTTTTCAGAAATCACCTTCCAAAGTAGATTTCTAAGAAGTTCCTATTTTTTCTGTGAATTCAAGGTGGGGGGGAGGGATAATATGGTGGCACATGCATGCTCATTAATCCAGTTTCATAGTCAGTGAGTTGCAATAACCCAACCAATAAATCTGTCTGGGTTGCCAGTGCTTCACCCAACCTACTTAGCTGTGTCTTTAAGGCAACTTGATTTGCATACATGCGCAGGGATAGTTTTTATGGCAACTTGCCAGTTTCATCAGCACAAATCACTGTTAACCGAATACAGCAAAGGCAGTTAAATACTGGTGATCCTATTTGAGGCAAAGGGAAAGAGGAACTTAAAGACCACATTTTATTTATAGACAGACACAATTATATTCCAGCGCATGTGACATATTTAGCGTCTTTTCTCCTGTTGCTGATGAGTAAAAAGCCGACATTTGTAGGAGTTCAGCATTGTTTTAGATGCTGAAAGAATGGCATTGCTCACTGTGAAATTCTTTCAGTTAAGCAACCCAAAGCAACCTACAGTCATTTTATTATGTTTAAGTGTGTGTGTGTGTATGTGTGTATATATAAATATAAATTTTAATAACTGGAATGACATTTGTTAACAAGAGTTGCCAGCTGACCTGGAAAAAAAAACTTACATCTTGAACAGCAGATGAAGCTTTTCAGACCATGAAGATAAACAGTGGCTTGAATCCAAACTTAGTCCTTTTTTTTAAAGAGAATTGCTGAAATACAGGCCACTTCCCTAGGTTTCATCAGAGTTAATGGCTCTACTCTAAGGAGGACTAAGCGGGGATCCAATCCACTATCACCTGCTAATGTCTACAGATCAAGTAGCATTTACAAATCAGTTACAGTTGGAAAAGTTGGCAAATGTTTTTCTTTTCACGGTATGAAATAGCTGAAAAGTAAGGCAGGCATGTGAATCTTAGATGGAAAAAGGACATTTGAATATGCAAAATAATACTTTAAAAACATGTTTGTGTTTTTAAGATATAGACCTGAAGCTTTCTTTGTGTTTTGTAATCCATTAAGATATTAAAATGACATGCAACATGATCCTACACAGGCTTACTCAGAAGCAAGTCCTTTTACAGTAAAATGGAAGTACTTTCAAGTGTACATAAGGTTGAACCTTTGGTTTATTAACTTCTGATTTCACACTCTAACCTGAAGAATACATTTTTTTAAAATCTCCAACTAATAAAATAGTTAAGCATTATATGGTTGTCATTAGGACCAATTATCCCCTTCTCTATTTTACATTAGTATAACTGTGGGTGAAATATGCCACTGATGGATAGGTTGCACCTGAAGTTCTGTTTTTGCATGTTGCTGACTCCAATGTGAACTTAACCCCAGTAGAACTGAACACATATTGCCAGACGTATAAAATATGATATGTGGTAATGAACCACAAGACCATCTGCTTTCAGTACACAAAACCAATCAGGTTAGGAGTAAAATAACACATAAATGTAAGCCACCTCTCATTTTATCGTTAGCATGCTTCTTCTACCCAGGGTATTAAAACTTGTGTCTCAAACAAGGCTTGGAAAGTTGGCCTCTCCAAATGTGGCTGGACCAAGCTCCCAGCACTCCTCAGCATTGGTCACATTGGCTGAGCTTGCTAAAAACAGCTGTTCAGCAACATTTGGAAGACCATAAGCCAGCCGCGTCTTAAAAGATAGTGTACTGGATTGCCGGATTGTAAACCAGAGATCTGTCCTCTACTTTTAAATTCCTTACCATATCAGGAGAGAAGGTAGCCACAGAGAACTGGTTCAAATACTTCTCCTACCTGAAGTGAAAAAAAGATGGTGCCCTCATTCCAATTACAGAAAAGTAGATGGAAGTGAAACTTTACTTCAATGCTAAGGATAGGACAACCACCTCCACATTTGCAGGATAATTTAGGACCACAGACTGCTTCACACACACCTCACTATTGTTCCCCATCCCTCAGCTCCTGCTTCCTAAGGGTGCTAATCTCTAGTCTTGCTTGTTTCTGGCCTCCAGCTTCAGATGTATTATATGCAGAAGCAAGAGGACGGCTCAGGTGAACAAAGCTACTGCTGACTGATTTACTGAAGAGCTTAACAAATACAAGCAGGGATTTTGGAATTCTACTCTAGTGGCCCCGTGTCAAATCTCTGGGATTGTAAAATAGGTTAAAACAACCATTTGTGATTGGAGTCCACTTTAAAAAAAAAAAAATCACTCTGCAAGGGTCTCAGGGCATGGTGGTGACATCAGTGGAGGAAACAAGCTGATGTGTGTGCGTGCGTGCATATTATAGTTTTCAGGGGCTTTCTTCACTTGTTATTTCTCCAAAAATAACAAGTGGGGGGAAATGCTCTTGAATTCCATTTTACCTCCAAATTTCAGCAACATGATTGGGAGAGGATACTGCAAAAATGGGGCTGGATTGGTGTCTGTAGCCTAGCCATCAGATTATTTGTTGTTCTGAACCAGTATAAAGAAACTTCATTAGAACCAATTAACGCTACGTTGTAGCTAGGTAATCTGAGTAGACACTGCAGTTATAACAATAGTTTTGATGTTTCTAAGGATTCCTTCTTTAATTTATTGCAGCCAGTTAAATCTTCTATTGTTATCCATTCTGCTTACAGCCAGTGGGTTATCTATACGAAGCACTGCAATAAACGTATGTCCCATTTCATAATTCCGTTTGACTTTAGAAAAGTCTCCCATCTTTGCATTCTGCAAGGCACATCTGACTCTACTTCTTGCGTGATTAATGCCTTTCCCAGGCTTTTCTATGAGGTGGAATTGTCAATATGTGTCCAATCTCAATTATAGCTGCAATTCTTGTTATAGATGTCTTTATTTGTACCAAACAGTGATTAGAGTTAATCAATTCTACATGACAACAGCATCCTTGCATACCTAAGGTTTGATCACAGTGCCAGTAGAGCACCATTTTAATTCATAAAAGAACAAAACAAGACCCAAGACCAATGTGTGGAAAGCAAAGTCACAGATATGGCTTTCTATAGGGATGTTGGATCACCCTCTTTGGCTGATACAACCAAAACTTGCAAGTAGGTGAAGAGATTAGTAAAGTAGAAAAGCCTTCAAAAATGAGAATTCCAGCCTTTGGGAACACTGACAAGAACTTGCTGCCAACAGGCTGCTTAAGTTGGCAGAACAAGACAGGCAGACCTGGTACAATAGGAAAATAAAACACCATGAAATAAAGGAAAATCCACACAACCCAAAGAAAACAACAGCAACATATACAGTCACAGAAGTTGCACAACAAAAGACTGCTAACTCAGGACAATCAGCCAGTGTCCCCAGGGTCTTTATCCTCAGGGTCTTTATCTGAAGACCATTCCTCTATTCTCTCCCCACCTTGGCCTGGTTTTTGGCAGCTAGAAGTCACCTCAGGCAGTACAGTTTGTTATGATTGCTGTCTCAGTTTCCAAGAACTGCAGCAAAAGCACTATTACTGGAGAGAATGCAGCCAAGGAAAGTTTGATTTAAAAAGGATTAATAAAGAACCAGCTGAAACAGGGAGAAAGAGATAGCAAAAGGAAAATTCCCTTCTCAGTGGAGGCTTTTGCTGTAAAATTGCTCTGCCTCATTTGCAACATTTTACTGAGGTGGTAGTGCTTCAGATGATGATGCAGATTATTTGGAACTCTCCCATGGTCTTTCCACCATGGTTAAGCCTTTTTAATGTCTGCTAAATAGCCATTAAGGAGAAAAGACAGAAGAGTTCCCCCACAACTTTAGATTGGTGGCACAAGGTAACCTCCACCCCAAGCTAAGGACTCTTGCTTCTTAATACAAAGGGCCAAATCCAATTCTCTTCCCACTAAATAATTGAATCAAGTGATCATGAGAGAACTGCCCCTCCAAAGGTTAATTTGGTCTCCCTAATTGACCCACTTTAGAATAAGGAAGAGTTATTTAAGAGAAAGCTCAGATGTCCTAAGCCAGCCCTGAGTTACATATCTATCCATTCAAAAAACTTGGGACTCATAGGCAACATCAGCTTGCAATATTAATAAGATTCACAGAATTCATTGGGAAGACTCTCATTAAGTCAAGATAGTCTAGCCAGAATACATGAGATAAGGACATCGAATGGCCACAAGAAGGCAGAGGAGGTAAGAAATGATTACATGCTAATTTTCTGTTATTACATCTTAAGTAAATTGTTCTTGTTCTACAGGATATGAAAAATCTAAAATTCAGATAGGCTTCCCAAGTCCTCACCCAGGAATAGTACACATTCCTTTACTTATATGAGATGGGATGAAGCCATTATGCCTTATAACCAGTTCAGCCCCATTGCAGGTTCTGTTCTTGATTATATACTTAAATAGATACACACTTATTATATTATATACCAATATTAGTTTAAGGTGGACACAATGCAAAACTCTTAAAGGTCCCAATTGGGACTTCTAGTCTTCACAGAAAAAGAATTGTGGGGAAGGCAATGTGCGTGTGCTTATATGCCCTGATCCTCCATCACATATTTACTGCTTGATCCACTGCAGGGAATAATGCAACAGAGTTTTGTGCTTCAGATTCCCGCTCTGTGTCGAAATTGATGGTGGATGAGTAGGTTATGTATCAGAGCAAGGCAATAAGTGGCTAAGAACTTCTTATACTGATCAGGAGAAACAGCAGCAAAAGGGGCTATCAAAAATGACCCATTAAAAAAAGTTCAAGGAAATAATCCTCTATCTCCAAATGCCATGATTCAATAATAGCGACAAAATTTGAGTCAATTTAAGGAAGGAGTGGTATATGAACATATTTATATGGCTGGGATTCCACACTTGACTCGCTAACTCTGATTCTTACACCCACTTCATTTAAGTCAGCCTTTCCCAATCTAGTGTTCTCTTGCTGGCTGAGAATTCGGGAGTTGAATCCTCAGCACATCTAAGGTACCAGACGGAGGGAGACTGTCCCAGGTAATCCATTTTCACATCTGATTTTACAATCTCTCAGGGGGATGGATTTGGGATAAAGAGTTTCCTTTCAAGAGGATTACAATAGGAGTCTGGATCCAGCAGGACCTCCCTAAGCAAAGTTCTATCAGGGAACTCTGGTTCACATCACACTCTTCACTGTTCTAGAGCCCACAATTTTCCAGAGGAGATTTTTAGAGAAATCAAAAATCTCTTTCTTCATTCTATCAGCAGGAATGCTCCATTAGATCAGAACCTACTGTAGAAGAAATCTGTTCTTCTTTTTGTAGAAGTCAAAAGTTGGATTCAGTCCAGGGTTTTGAGTAGCAAGTTTTCAACTCACCACAGAAATGGTGAAAAATAATCTATAATTCCATAATTAGCACAAATGGGGCAAAGACTCTTTTAGTAAAGACACAGTAGCAAGCTGGAATGATCTAGTACAGAGACACAAATGTCTGAAACCAAGCTGCCTGCCAAACTCAAAAGTCCCTCTCCAAAAAGATGAAATAAAAAATTTAAGCAATACTGGAAACTTTTGAATAAACTTTTGTCTGAAATATTTGTTCCTTCACACTGGGAAATACTTTTCAAATAATACTGATACAGTTAATTCATGTTGTTTTTATTTTCTTAAAACCAGTATATAAAAGGCCGTAATGTTAGAGATGCTCTCATTACAGTTACTTTGGGCAGACGTGCTAAACATAAATCCCTCTGACTGCATTCCTTTGTTAGCCCATTTTCTTGGTCCACAGAATACAATGAACCATAAACTAACCAAATTGCCTGAATTTGCACAACATACCAAAGCCCGGGGGGGAGGGGAGACCCATAAATGCAGTTATTATTAACCAAATTGTGTGACTTCAGACTCTAAATCTTTAACTTACTTATGTGGGAATGTTGCCTCTTAAGATAGTGGGAAAGTATTACTACATAGATTAGAATAGCAAATGTCTTCAGAATAGCAAAGGTCTTCATAGTTCAGAATAGCAAATGTATTCAGGAGGGCACTCTGGGAAGTATGTTGCTTTTGCAGAAATAGAGCCAAATGTCTACATAACCAGCCTTCCAATTCCTCTTGCTTCTCACTCGCCCTAAGATTGAAAATTCCAGAAGCCTGAAACCAGGGTGCAGAAACCTTTAAAAATCTTTTGGATTGATACCCCTCTACCTATCTCCAGGCAATAAAAAGCTTTCCCCTTCTTTCCTGCAATGTTTATGGGTTTTTTTGTTCTTCCAATAAAACTTTGGCTCCCAATTTTTCTAAATGGCAAAAGAAAAATAGGTACTTTTGGGCATTCAGTAGTTTGTGGCTCCATCTCTGACACTGTGATCATAATGAGGCTTTATGTAAAATTAAGGCACTTTCATCTGCTAAGTTAAACAAATTCTGTTTGATGTTTAGACTTAGAAAAGAGAGAAACCAAGGTAGGTAAATGGCTTCTTTTGTAGTTCTGATGGCTTGTGCCAGCTGGACCCCAAAAGTAGAGGGTTTTTCCTTCACTTGTCCCTCCCAGTGACTACAATGGGAAGAAAGAGGATGGTGCAAGCTCCAGGCAGCTGGGATTCTACCCACTTCAAAGGTGTGTTGGCATATGAGGGCAGTGGAAAGCAGGGCCTCTACTAGCATGCCCTCCAAAGACCTTCAAAGTACCAACTGTGGACAGTTTGCAACCTTATGGAAGGGCCTTGTGAGGCTGGATTTCTCTCTCCAAGGACAACCCTTTCTTTCTGTCCTTAGGGAAGGAAATCTGAGAAATCTTATTGTTTGGGGAATAGCTTCTTTTACTACTGTAAGAATTGCAGCTTTAGAGTAGTAAAGAAAGTTACATTTGATAAGAGAGTACTGCTTATATCTTATTTTCCTGACTTTAGTTGAAAGACAGGAGGGGAACCTATATGTTCCCCTGAGTGTAATGATTGTGTGTTACTATTCAAGACTCACTCCCTGTTTATACCAGTATCTCCAGTATTTAAAATGTTAGGATGCAGCTGTACATATATGCTGTTTCACAGTTGCTTCTTAGCAGATTTTCCTCAAAGTTTACTCATTAGGAATCTGGTAGTTACCCCAAACTCATTTCAACCTCAGTCCTAGAATATCACCAACAGCCCAGCACCAACTCAACCAAAACTTCCTTACATTAGCTCCTACTTGCACCTTGATTACAAGCCATACAACTTGGGGAGATTTTTCTTCAACAGTGTTGGACCAAAGCTCCCCACTACAGAAGACAAGGGAGTCAGAAGGCGTCCTTTGAAAACAAGTCTTTTGTACAACAACAAGCACCCTCAGGGTCACAGGAACCTCACATCTGTCCAGTGGCACACACATCTGTAACCTGGGCTTGTTCAGTGCTCCCAGCAGACTGGATGGAACCTGGAAGAGGCAGTGCAGGTCTCACCTCTGACCCACTCGTTGTCTGTTTGCCTCCATGTTCAAGGCCAAGTTATGGAGGAAGAGAAGGATCTGCCACCAGACCTGATTTCTGTTCTGCTGGTGCTGTAAAAAGGGAAAATTGGTCTAAACAAGATTACTCATACAAAATGTTAAAGCCACAATTCAAAAGCTTAACTTATCCCAATAAAAACTAAGTTACATTTTCAAGAACAGACACTTTAATCCCAGCAATACTGCAGATATAAAGGAAAAAGCATTGGCCCCAGGGTATGTGAGTGTGACTAGTAGTAGTTTCTCTAGGAATAATTGTAGCTCCAATATTATGAAAGAAAAAAGCAGACCCTTTATGTATTGTGCACAAAAGGATTAACCCCCCCCCTTTTTTTTTTTTTGCAGGATTCTGCAGAGTTTAGCCAAGTGCTGTTTTTAATCAGATTGGCTTCTGAGTGTCTCATAGCCCAGCTGCAAGAACAAACAACTTCTTTCCCCCTTTTTTCCTAAAGGAGAGTACCCCCCTCTTCCAGCAAACATAGGAGAGAGGGAAGGGAGGGGGAAGAAGAGAAGTGTAGCTGGTGATCCATCTGTAAGTGATTTGACACTGTGAAGGTCAAAGGGTTAATCTTCAATTTAAACCACACTGCTGAGACAGCAAAACTGATTTTATCCAGTACAAGAAAACACACTCCTATACACACACATACTCCCCCCACCATGCTTTGCTTCCCAACATCTCCAAGATAATACTGCCCTTTTTTAATAGCTCCTTTTGACAGTAAGCCATAAATAATCAGTCTTGGAGCCCTTTCCTACTGACTGGAGCCAATTAAACCTTAAGCAAGAACACGCTTGAAAACAAAACCCAACAAAAAACCTAGGGGTTATTTCAGGTCCCCATTATCAAGCAACACATTTTGAAGCTTGACTGGGGGTGGGGAGGCTTCAAGCTCTAACTCTGCTACCTTTAGATAGGACTAGCAAGAGCTCAGCTTTCATCAAATGTCACAATCCATGCTTTGTATGATACGTGTCTTTGTCAAAAGACAGAGGCATCATTGATATAAAGAGATAGATCTAGAGATCCAGCAAGCAAAGTCCCATGTACATTATGTCAAAGAGGCCATTTTCTCCAATTCTACCTTCCCTGGAGCAAAAAAATTTGCTCCAGAACATTGGCGGTCCTCCAGTAGAGCATGGAAAATGGCTCAGGGAGCTGCTGAAGGGGAAGGGAGAGAATCAAGGGAATTAATGTTTGAAGGCCTCTTGCCTTCCAACATCAGCAGGAGTCTCTGCTAGATTACAGACCCCTCCACCAATGGATCTACTTGTGGAAGAAGAACTGAAGCCATGAACATTGTTCTGTAAGGCTATACTTTTCAGAAATAGGGTGGCCTGACATGTGTTTCAGAGAGCTGCAGGGATTTAGAGAAACAGTCCTTTAAAATAAAGGCCCTCTGGCAACTCCAGAATTGTTTTGTCTTCATAAGCCAAGAGTCTACCTCATCCAGAAGCTAGACCTCAGTTAGTGTTTTTTCATCCATAAGTGCCATCTTAATAACAGTACTTCCTCCAGATTTATTTATTTATAAGATTTATATAGGTAGCCCATATTGTGCAACATAACCTGGGAAGCTCACAAACAATAAAAACCATAAAAAACTAAAAGACAATACAGGTAGTCCTCATTTAGCGACCACAATTAGGACCAGCAACTTTGTCATTAAGCGAACTGGCCACTAAGTAGGAAATCACATGACTGTCATTGTGGTTTTCTTTTTTCCACTCCCCCGCCCTTTGGAATGCTCATCCCAGTGCTGGGTGCTGGGATAATTAGCAAGAAGGGAATTAATGTTTGTATTCACATTC